TTTTACTGGCACGAATCAAGTGCACCAAAATTCCACTCAGCTCTCTCTCTCTCTCCTTCTAGTTGCTGGACCACCCTTATTGATTCCTTTTTCACTTGTACAGCTTAGATTTAACATCTAGAATATTCTTTACTTGTATAAATTTCACCTCATCTTCATTTGTATTGTATTGAGCATTAAGTTGATTAATATATCTTTTTACAAAGTTTAACTTGGTATCGGAGCACTAATGGCAAACGCCAATAATGCTGGAACCAACAATCAGCAGGCTCAATCAACTTCAGTAGCTAACACATTGGTATCTCTAATGCTGGGAGGTAACCATTTCACTCCATTTGGTGTGACCCTCACTCAAACCCCTTCCATCAAACTCAATAGAGACAACTATCTCCTATGGAAGAACATGATTCTACGTACCCATCATCAGAGGCCACAATCTAGAAGAGTTTTTACTGGGAACCAAAGTGTGTCCCTCTGAATTTACCAGCACTCAGATTACAGGAGATTCAGGGATTAGTGTAGAGATGACATCTAATCCAGAATCCAGTCAGTGGAAATCCATCGATCAGCTACTCATGGGATGGTTCTATACAATAATGACTCCTGATATTGCACTGAGAGTTATAGGATCTACAGACTCTCTTAAACTATGGACTGCAATAAGTGATAGCTATGGCATTCAGAACAAATCGAGGATCACCTTTCTCATTGGCGAATTGCAGAAAACCAGGAAAGATAACATGAGTATTGATCAATACTTGAGCAAGGTAAAACTCCTTGCCAGTAATCTTGAAGTTGCTGGGAAAGTCATACCACTCACAGATTTGGTGACTCAAATTTTGGCTGGCCTAGATGAAGAATATACACCCATTGTTGTCCAAATTAATAGCAGAGATTCTATATCTTGGGAAGAACTTCAATCCACCCTCATAACTTATGAAAGCAGACTTGATCACATCAACACAATTAAGAATAAAATGGCAGGTATCAATCTTAGTCAATCATCTGCAAACTTCACTCAAAGGGCTCCAAACAATTATTATTCTGGCAGAAACTACAACTCCTTCAATGGTGGTAGATCATACACCAATAACTTCAGAGGTGGTAGAAGAGGAGGTAGATACAAAGGTAGATCAAACTTCAATCACCCACCTACGAGTCAAGTCTGTGGAAAGGTTGGGTATAAGGCTAATCTCTGTAATTACAGATATGATGAGAGCTACAATGGATCCATTGCACCACATCAAAGCAACTTCAGAAACCACACTCCTTTAGCTTTTGTTGCCTCACCAGAAACACTAAATGATCCAGCATGGTTCGCTGATATATGAGCCACCAACCATGTCTCCTCAAGTGCAGAACATCTCAGTCAGGCCAGTAAGTACTCTGGTAAGGAAAGAATCATGGTTGGTAATGGAAGCAAACTCAATATTTCTTACACAGGTATATCCAAAATGCCAACCATGACTGATAAACATTTGCTTCTAGATAAATTACTTCATGTTCCTGAAATAAGGAAAAATCTTATTAGTGTTTCAAAGCTCACCGCTGATAATCACGTCTTCATGGAATTTCACTCTAACTATTGTTATGTTAAGGACAAATCAACGAGGAAAACGATGCTGCACGAAAGGCTTAAAGAAGGGTTGTACTAGTTGGAACCTCCAAACATCTATCCTACATCACAGTCAAAGAATCCAAACTCATCATATCAGAATAATTCCTACAATTCAATGTTTTTAGTTGTGTCAAATAGAGTCAAGAATCACGAGTCAAATAGCTCCCTAATCAATGTTTGGCATAGGAGACTGAGACACCCATCTAGTCATGTGATGTCCCAAGTTCTCAAAGATTGTAATCAAAACTTGAAAATGAATGAACACAAGTTTTTCTGTGATTCCTGTCAGTATGGAAAATCACATCTATTGCCTTTCAACACATCCAGTTCACGTGCAAAAGCTCCTCTTGAACTCATCCACACAGACGTATGGGGACAGTCACCTATCCTCTATACCTTTGGTTTCAAATTTTACATAGCCTTCGTTGATGATTTTAGTCGACACACCTGGATATATCCAATGAAAAACAAATCTGATTATCTGAATATCTTCATTCAATTCCAAAAATTTGTTAAATATAAGTTTGATAAAATAATTAAAATCCTCCAATCTGATTAGGGAGGAGAATACAGAAATTTTGTCAATCATCTCTCACAATCAGGAATAAAGTTTAGACATCCTTGCCAACACACGTCACCTCAAAACGGAAGAGTTGAAAGAAAACACCGTCACATTGTAGAAACTGGTCTGACTTTACTTGCTCAAGCCAAAATGCCACTGAAATACTAGGTGGAAGCCTTCCAGGCTGCTACCTCCACTGAAATACTAGGTGGAAGCCTTCCAGGCTGCTACCTTTCTCATTAATAGAATGCCTTCACAAGTCCTTCAAATGCAATCCCCGTATCAGGTGCTGAACAATAAAAGGGCTGACTACACATTCCTTAAAGTATTTGGGTGTTCATGCTATCCTTGCCTAAGACCTTATCAAAGGCATAAATTCAGCTTCCACTCAGTCAAGTGTGTCTTCCTAGGCTATAGCTCATCTCACAAAGGCTACAAGTGCCTCAGTCCTACTGGCAAAACC